CACCTGAATTTGACTGAACCACGAAAATGGACCCGCAGGGACATTTTCCGGTTTTCCGGTTTGGTTGTTGTATAAATATTAGTGCGCATGCCCAACATTTCGTTGCCTGTTTTCGCCTATTTTTGCTTTGGCACCACAGCGCCACTTACAGGCCTGGCATACATTTTGCAGCATTTTCATGCATTCGTGTGGTCGATCACATTTATTTTACGTCTCCGTCTTTACGACAAACGTTCTGGAAAATATTAGCGTTTCATGTTCGTTTTGACTTCGTGTGGACGGGGCCTGAGTTTCATCCAGTTGCAGCTCTGCAGGCGGGGCACAGCATGGGTCCTCTTTGTCTTAGTCGTTCATCAAGACAGGCTAGGCCTTCTCTCCAATCTGGCTCTGTAAGTTCTGAAACTCAAGAGAAATGTGTTGCAAAAGGTCTGGTTTGCAGCAGTTTGGTTCTGAAAGGTTCTGAGTTATCCTTGATGATTCTGGAGATCTGGTTTCCCTGGGGCCCGCATCTCCACTGTGGTGGAGATCCAGCCACAGTGGATCCCAGCTTTGAGCGCAGGAGCAGAAGAGGCAAAAGAAGGGGCAGAGTCCTGTGTGCTCTGTGGTTTTGTCTGTCCTCACAGACAGGGGGGTAGGTTTTCACACCTCTGGTGGCTTCCATGTGACTTGCCTGTGACTGCTTTGGCTAAAAAGGGGGGTGCTGCAGAAGTCCCCCAGCTGTTATTCACCAAAGCTGCGTTTTCTTCTCTGGTCATCCTATCAGGATGAAATATGGACACTGGTTCCCAATGTCCAAAAAGTATGATCATGGCATATGGCACAACACCTGAAACCATTCTACATGGCAGCAGAAGAGAGCAAAGAATAGTATAAGAGTTGAATTCCCAATTTGGACATAAACTAGGCTAGAACTGGCTGGGAAGATGGATGTCTGCCAACAGTGCAAGTTCAGACAAGTAGAAGCATGTCTTATATCTTCATTATTTCAGTTCTTGACCGTAAAAAACTCAGTGTATGAACAATGGAGCAAGAGGCTGATATGAATCTTTTTGCTATTTCCTGCTTTTCTGTTGTGGCATGCTTGGAGGTAACTGGATGACTTTTCTTCAGTATTACTTGTTGAGAGTCAGGCTGTAGATATTCTGGGTTTCATGTAACTCCAAACAGCTCTTCAAACACTGACATACGGAGAACATCCCCTTGTTCTCTGTCATCCCTGCAGTGTTTCTAAGGCTTTGTTTTTCTCTGCTCTTATGATTAATCAATATTCCAGTTAGGATTTTTAAATAGCTGGTTTTGTACTTAATCCATTGAATCAGTTTCAGTGATCTGTATTAAAACAGAAGAACATTAAGTAGTCATCATATTCAATAGTCAGTCGTAATCCATAATCCATTAGCTAGTAGCTGCAGAACTTAAAGGGCATGTTTTGAAACCTTATCAGTCATAATAGTATTTATTATTATTGTTTTGATTGATATGGTTTAAGCATTTCCCAGTTAAGGGTTTCTTCTTTTTTTTTGTGGGGAAACAATAACATCTTCTTCACTTTTATTCCCCAACTAATTGTCAAACACATGCTGAACCCCTTCTCCTCCTGAGAGCTCCTATCCGACAAAATACCAGAATCTGATGAGGAAATTCAGCCGATTGAATGTTGATGGATTGTAGCTCTGAAGGACTGGGTGCTGGTGCACCAAATTATCCTTGCATCCATCGTTTAGCAGAAAAGAAGCTGAAATGTGTCCATTCTGATTGAGATCTTCTCTGTTAATGTTTACAGTGACTAAGGAAGGGGCTTGGCAATCTGTTCAGCAACATGGAGAAGGGGGAGCTGAAGATACTCAACAAGGGTGAAGAAGAGGAGATGGTAAGTCGCTTTCATTTGATAGCACTGTCCATATGAGATTTTACTCTCCATGTTGCAATCCTCTTTTTTTTTTTTTTTTAAAGGAACTACAAGGCTACCAGTTCTGCCGTTGGCGGCTGGCCCTTGTAGGCTTCGGGGTACTTTGTACTGGGGGCTTCCTTCTCCTGCTGCTCTATTGGATGCCAGAATGGTGCGTCAAGTCCACCTGCACCCGTACCACAGCCCGTGACGCCGAAGTGGTGTTGCTGCGCTCCACGGTAGGAAAAGAGTCAACGCTGCCTTGGAAGGAGGTTTACTAGAATAATGAAAACACAAACACTGAGCCAGGATGACCTAGGAGAAATAAAAACATAATTTTACACCAAGGTAGTAATTACACCTGTAGTAAAATCTGGTTCTATCAGCTGTAGATAAATGTTCTGATAATCACTGAGTCATGTTAGATTAATATTATCGTTTCCTTCTGGTGGCAGCAACACACCCACTGCACAAAGGTTGAAACCTAACCCCCCCCCCCCCAACAACAGAATGACACCACTGCTATCATGAACTCTAATGGGATTTAGGAAAAATTGGGTTTTATTTAATCTTTTATTTATTTATTTTTTTTTACTCTGAAACACAAGTTCTGAAAAATGAGATAAAAAATAAACCTTAATAGCAGAAGACAAAATCTATGTGCTTTTTCAGTCTTATTTCAGCCTGACTGTCTGTGTCCATATTTACATCTCCCACCATCCTGGAGCATTTCTGCTCAGTCCTCTACTATACATCATTCCTTCTGCTCTAAGAACTAAAACAGCAAACTTTAACCCTCTTCTTCCACCATTCTGTCTGCTCTTTGCTAATGTGAGTTTACCAACTGCTCTCTGTTTGCTGTTCACCAGGATGAGTTCCGGCGCTGGTTCCTGGCCAGGGTACGAGTGATGCTTGCTCCGGGGAGCAACCCCTTCCACAGCCTGGAGACCCAGACCACCTCCCCTCCCTCCTCCCCCTCCTCCACACCTCTGGCCAACGGACACACTCCTCACCCCTCCGATGGCAGCCCTGCTCAGGAGCTCATCAGAAGATTTTCTTATTACCAGCCCACACAGGTGGCTAAATATTCCATCACAGCATGATAATGGTGAAAACTCTGAATATGTAAAGCAAAACCAACGGAGCCTGCAGCTGATAGTGTTTAACTATTAAACTAAAAGCAAATGTAAAGTCTTCACCACTGAGGTGATCCTTGAGAAAAAGTTTGTTATTCTCATCTATCAGACATTACTTGATCTTTAAAGGAGCAGCAGGCACTAATTCATTATTTTAGATAAAAAGAACTAAAAATATAGCTTTATGAGAATCTAAAGGTATGTTTTAGGTAGAAAATGTTGTGACGCATCTCACACCATCTGTCTGCCATGTTCTCCGGTCTCTTGTTTAGAAGTGGGGCTGGCCGGGCGGCTCTCTGTAAAAACTGCCACTCAGGGCTTTGACCCCTCCCTGCCCATTAATCGCCACTGAGTTGTATGGGAGTAAAATGGCAGACAGTGTCCAGCCGATGGAAATGTTCACCTAAAGACAATCATTTGCCCAAATTAAGTTGTCTAGCTAACATCATTTTAAATGTATGAGTTCCTTACCTCTTGACTACACTTCCTCCTCTGAAAGTTGCTATTCTTCAGCATCCGACACCAAGATGTTAGAAGCAGATCAATAGGTGAGGGAGGGGGGCTCTGTGTGTAGAATTTAAAGGTCTGGTCAACAGCAGCTCTTGCTAGTTGCTGTGCTGCTAAGCTGGCATACATTCACTGTCCTTATGCCTGTGATGTATTTGGTGACACCTGTGATTTAATGCAAGAGAAACAGTTATAGGAAGTAAAGAGGTGATGAGAAATTACAACGAAGTTGCTTCATTTCCAAAAACATCAAATTTGAGCTCAGGCTTTGGATGAAACCTTGTTTCTTGAATAGAGGTGTTACGGCTCCCCCCCTTTACTGGGGAGAGAGGGAAGTAACTTGACAGCCACAAAAAAATTCAGAGACCAAGTGAATGTTAGAAAAGAAAAATCAGGGATTTATTGGTTACAGAAAATCCCAAGCAACTCATACAAATGGTGGGGGAGAAAGGGACGATTAGGTGGTGCCAAATCAAAGAAAATAAAACAAAAACAGGGCCTACCTATGGTCTAAGCTACATAAAACAAATGAAACAAAACCCCTGCTTAACTAATCTAACAAAAAAGATTCACCAAAACTTTACAAGGGTGGCATCCACCTACTTACCTAGTGTGTTTAACAGAAAGTTTCCTACGTGATGAGATGTACAGGGTACCCCAACCTTACCTTGTCCACTAACTCCCACGACAGACCATTAGACACACAGAACAAAACATGCAGCAAGCAAGCCAAGAACAAAAAGGGGTAGGATCTCTAAGTGGCTTGCTTACATAGGACCTCCCTGGATCCTGATTGGTCCAAAGGTGGAGAGAATCAATCAATGGAACATGGATCCCAGCTTCTGCTACCTGTGTAGAAGCAAAAGGGAGGGAAAACAAACAGAGAGAAAAACAAACAGCCTGGCAGGCATGTAACAGAGGTCATTTGTTTAAATCCCTGTATGGAATGGTTTCTCCTGGGGGACTTCCTCCCGCTGTCCAATAACACAACTATTGGGGTTTTAGTTTACTCCAAAGTGTTCCTAAGTTTGAATGCATGTGTCCATGGTTGGTTTCTACAGCAAACTGTACTGACTGGCCTTTCCTGGGTCGACCCTGTATTACCCAATGCCAGCTGTAATATTTGCCATTTTACGGGTCACTGCAATCAAGCTCTGATGCTCCCCTACCAAGTATTGGTGCTTGGGTCAAAAGGGGCAAACCGACCAATTGCTAATCAGCTATTTAAGACAGCTATGTTGCTGCTGTCACTGTTACAAATGGACCTGAGATCAGATTTAAAAATAAAACTTACCTCTTGCTGATGAAGAACAGAATTTAGCTTTAATAACCACAATTGCATCAGAAGCTGTTAGGTCTGATGGCAAAATATATGAGATCCTGAATATGAGCACAGGAAAGTAGACAAACAAAAGCAATCCTAGCAATCCTCTCATCAGATGATTTTGTTATAGTCTTTTTTTTTTTTATAGATGAGGAGATTAGGAATTATCCTCCCCTGTCTGACTTTCATAGCATAATGGGAGGGGTAATCGGCACATCTGCTTTTGGTTTCCAAAGTCTAACCAACATTTTTTTTAATAATTTAATCATGGATATTTATTTTCTGATACAGATTTCATATCACAGCTGATTATCCACCATTCATACCTTCAGTTGTTTGATGTCATATCTTTATCGTGAGCTGAACATACAGATATCAGTTTTCAGCAGAGGTCAGGTTTTCCAGGTTGTTAATGAATCTGTATCTATTTGTTTAAATCTAAATGATGTGTTTTTTCTCTTAGATCCGCTACTTTACCTTCCATAGCACAAAGTATTACTGGAACGATGAGATGCAGAACTTTAGAGTTTTAACGTAAGAATTTTTATGTTTTATCAATTGTTTTAATAAGCTTAAGATTATTTTTTTTTTTTATTATTATTTTTTTTTACTTTGACTAATTTGACACCATTGTTTGCAGCCTTTTTGTATGTTAATCTTGTATTGTCTGTCTGCCTGCCCTGCTGTGTTTTAAATCTGACTTCTGTCCCTTTTCTTGTGGTTAAACTGTGTTGTTTAGCGGCCTGGAGGATCTTGAAGCCAGTTGCTCCACCATCCACTCGGAGCACAGTGCAGGCCTGACCAGGAACCAGCAGGAGTACAGGTACATCACACCTAAATCCTCCCAGCTGTTCTGGGTCCACAGGTCCTATTAGAACTACCAAAACCCTTTAAACTTTCCATGTTCTAAAGTAAAGAGATGCTGCCCTTTCCTTGCAGTTATCTCTCTTTTTATTTAGAGCCCTGTTTTCTTTCTGCCTTAGTTGTCTTCCTACAGCCCTTTTTCTTGTGTACTACCTCTGGACGTTTTCTTCATCCTCATGTAGTGCCACCATCCCTTCTTTCTGTCATTCCTTGTTTTCCTACCTGCTTTTCCTTGTATTTTGCTCAATTTTTTCCTTGTTTCTTTCCTTCCCTTTTCAATATATTACCATTCTATGCATTGCCTCACTTCCTTGATCCTACCTCCCTTTAGGCCTACCTTCTTCTGTCTCTTTCCCTCCTGTTTTCTGATGCCATATTTAAAGCCTTTCTGCTGTAGAAATATCCCATAAACTCTTAATGCATATTTTTCTCTAAAATCTCTAAAAAGTTTAACCTTCAAAGGTGGACAGATGTATCAATTGTTGACAATATTATGAAATAAACGTCTGCAGTACGTAGTAAACGGCTGTAAGAGGCTCTTTAATATTTTTTTGCTTTGCTGCCATGTTGTGCGTCAAATGTATTTCTCTTTTGTTTTGTCAGGAAACTGTTTTTTGGAGTGAATGAAATCGCTGTGAAAGTGCCTTCAGTTTTCAAGCTGCTTATCAAAGAGGTAAAAGCAACATAATCTCTTCATTCTAGGATTTGCTTCTTGTTCCCTTTCTTCCCCATTGTGTCTAAAACTCAGCTGGCAGGAAAAACACACAGTTATCCCACTGTTAACGAGTTTTAGGTCGTTTGGACTTTTATTCCTGGAGATATGATTGTCTTTAGTTGTCAGGACCCAGAGCTCTGACCGTTTCTTTTTAATGCTCCAAAAACTACATCATGGAACAAGGCTTATTTTCTCTAAAGGTTTTCACCTAGTCACCTCTTTCCCTGTTCTATTTTTTTTAAATAATGTATTTTACTTTATTTTTTCTCTTTTATCGTTGTTTTCTTCCTATCCTGCAGAAGAGCATCTTTGTTTTTCAAGCTAACTTTAGTTTGGTGCCTCTCCTCTTCCTTGTCTCCTCTTGCAGGTCCTCAACCCTTTTTACATTTTCCAGCTCTTCAGCGTAATCCTGTGGAGTGCTGATGAGTATTACTACTATGCTGTGGCCATTGTTTTCATGTCGGTTATATCCATAGCTACCTCTCTGTACACCATCAAAAAGGTAAGACTTTCTAAGCAATGAAAACATGCATGTCTAATTGCAGAGTCTAATGATACAAATATGGAGGATTAGAAGAGTAGATGTTTAACATGTGAAACATTTACTGAGAAAGGGGTCATTTACTTTCTTAAATGTTGACAACTGTGAACGACCCCTTAATGATGCTTTATGAAGAGTCCTGTTTACTTTTTTTTTTTTTTTTTACCTTCTGTAGCCCTCATGTTAGAAACTTTTAGTCTTTTCCTTTGTTGTTCCTTCTCCAAAATTTTGGATTTGTTTATACGATACAGACAGTTGTAAGCTTGTTTTGTATACACTTATAATAAATGGGCTAAAGTCTGAATAACAAACCTTTCTTAATTTTATATCAAAATGCGTTTAGTTTTTCTAGAATATTTGTCAGACGTTGGATGATCAGTTGTGTTTAATATTTAGGGCTTACGCTGACAGCTGTTATTATTTTTGCTCTCTGTTGAATATATGTTTGATTTACCAACGAATACAAAGACATTTTTCCAGAAATAGAAAAAGTATTTTTGATTACTTCTATACAATTTAAAGTTGGAAACTTTAGCATGTTATGAAAAACTGTCTGCAAAGACTAAATGTTTTCTGATAGGGGCTACTAATAACTTAGGCTTTACAAAATAAATACATTTCAGTGCTTTCATTTAATGTTTAAGAAATAAAAGCTGTAATTAAAACACATTTCCTCCAGCATTTAGTCTGCTTTGAAGCAGAGCAGTGGTTAGCAGAACTTTAGCATCTTTAAAAAGCCACTGAAGTCTTTCAGCTCATCACTGGTATCAGAAGATCAGACATTCTACTGGGCTTCTGTTAAAATACTTAATAATAAGAAGATCCCAAATCGCTCAAATTTTAAGTTTATGTATCTTTCAGGACCTTAGAATATCTTTCTAACCTGCTTTATTCGTGACACAAACTGACGATTTATCTACTTATGGTTCATCTCCCGGTTTTTATAGAGACAACTAAAGGTGGAGCTGATCTGTAATGGCTCATCACACCACTATACACCTTTTTTTCTCTTTTCTGCAGCAATACGTCATGCTTCATGATATGGTGGCAGCTCACAGTATTGTCCGTGTGTCTGTTTGCCGAGCAAATAATGGTAAGCCAAAAAACGTTTGGTTTTGTATTATTTTTCGAAAATATAAATCAATACCTTGCTCTCCCCATTACATACAGATGTTGATGGGTATAATATATTTAGAATTGTTTAAATTCACCTTTTAATCTTAAAGCGATAGTTCGGTATTTTTGACATGAATCTGTATGGCATCCCCATCACCAGCGGCATGCAATCACACTGACTTACCCCTGGCAGCGTCCTGTGAGCAGAGTTATCGTCCAGTTTTGGTCAAGCCGAAAGTAACCCTGCAGGTTTTTAGGAACAGCGAAATATAACTTTTCTGTTCCCAAAAGATTATGTGTTCAAAAGAGTGATATGTTCGCATCCCAAAAACATTGTAGTGGAAAAAGTCCCACGT